TTTGTTTTGAAGACTTGTCCTGCACATCTTTGCAAAGTGATTTTTTTCACTCTTCTTGCACATCTTTCCTCCTGAACCAGATTTGTTTCTTTTCTCTCATTTGTTTTGAAGACTTGTCCTGCACATCTTTGCAAAGTGATTTTTTTCACTCTTCTTGCACATCTTTCCTCCTGAACCAGATTTGTTTCTTTTCTCTCATTTGTTTTGAAGACTTGTCCTGCACATCTTTGCAAAGTGATTTTTTTCACTCTTCTTGCACATCTTTCCTCCTGAACCAGATTTGTTTCTTTTCTCTCATTTGTTTTGAAGACTTGTCCTGCACATCTTTGCAAAGTGATTTTTTTCACTCTTCTTGCACATCTTTCCTCCTGAACCAGATTTGTTTCTTTTCTCTCATTTGTTTTGAAGACAAACAGAGTTTGAACCACTTGACATCATTTTCTTGTCTGAACTTGTGTCAGATGTACTGATGAACTGTATTTCCGTTGTGCTTAATGGTGCAATGACAAACCAAACTCTCTCATTGTGATTTTATTATGAGCAGTTAATTGTGTTTGTTGTTGAAGCTTCAGGTGATAACTCTGTTGTGCCTCCAGGGTTTCTGACATCGATCCAGTTGTTGACAGACTGGTGGGTCAGGATCTCACAGCTCAAGGAGTCAGACCTGAAAACTCACTTCAACATTGTGTCTTTGACACAGAGCGACTACCTTTGATTATTAGTTTCTGTTTAATTCAACTGTTTCAACATATTCTGTTCAGGATTTATGAAATCAATTAWAAATCTRAAGTAAATGAAAGTTGAGGTTCTTGTGAGAGACCAAGAGGTTCAGAGGAACAGTGCAGGTTGAGGGACTGGGACATAAAGTCAGAGGACAGACAGATGGTTTGGACATGTCCAGAGGAGGGACAGTGGGTATATCAGTAGAAGGATGCAGTTCGAGGACATGGAGGTAGTTGTGTTGAGGACAGAGGACGATGTCTCTGTGGAGACAACATGTCCACTCTGTCCTCTGTTTTAAACAGACCTGCAGTAACGTGTCAGAGAATCAAAGGTTAATGAATCAGTTTTTGAGGTTTCTGTCAGGAGTCCAAACCAYATTCTTCTGTAAATAATTATAACCATCACCAGGAGGAGGAGTCAGGATTTTAYAATTTACAGTATCCATAAATCAAATGAAAACAGGTTTAAAATGCCAACAGGTGAATGTCAGCAGGTGGGTGGATCAGAATGTCAAACCACAGAGTTACAGTTAAAAACAGGTCCAATTAAATCAAACAAGCTTTTAATTAAAACAACAAACATTTTTTTCTGCTACGTCAATGACTTTCATGGAGTTRTGTTGATCAAAAACTTTATTTTGTTCACATTTCTGTTGATTTAAAGAAGATTTGAACCCTTTTGATGAAGTTATTGAGAAGCTGAATAAATCTGGCATTAGAGGATCAGCACTACAGTATCTA